AGTCTGAATAATGTAAATAGTGTACATAATGCCTCATCTCAGAAATATAGACAGATACTGAAAGGCCGAAACTTTGTAATAAATATGTCGACAAAGATGAGGACAATAGTCCGAATAAAGTAAATAGTGTACATAATACCTCATCTCAGAAATATAGACAGATACTGAAAGGCCGAAACGTTGTAATAGATATTGCGACCAAGATGAGGACAATAGTCCGAATAATGTAAATAGTGTACATAATGCCTCATCTCAGAAATATAGACAGATACTGAAAGGCCGAAACATTGTAATAAATATGGCGACAAAGATGAGGACAATAGTCCGAATAATGTAAATAGTGTACATAATACCTCATCTCAGAAATATAGACAGATACTTAAAGGCCGAAACGTTGTAATAAATATGGCGACCAAGATGAGGACAATAGTCCGAATAATGTAAATAGTGTACATAATACCTCATCTCAGAAATATAGACAGATACCGAAAGGCCGAAACGTTGTAATAAATATGGCGACCAAGATGAGGACAATAGTCCGAATAATGTAAATAGTGTACATAATACCTCATCTCAGAAATATAGACAGATACCGAAAGGCCGAAACGTTGTAATAAATATGGCGACAAAGATGAGGACAATAGACCGAATAATGTAAATAGTGTACATAATACCTCATCTCAGAAATATAGACAGATACTGAAAGGCCGAAACGTTGTAATAGATAAGGCGACAAAGATGAGGGCAATAGACCGAATAATGTAAATAGTATACATAATACCTCATCTCAGAAATATAGAGTGGTACAGAAATACTTTGTAAAAAAAATTATTATCAGCAATAAATTTTTGAAAAAAAAATAAATGCGAACAATAATCTTGTCGGCATTAAATAACCCATTGAGGTTGATATGCCGTAAAACAAATAAAACCAAACCAGTATACTGAGATAGATAGATAGATAGATAGATAGATAGATAGATAGATAGATAGATAGATATGAGGAGACCAAGAGAGACAGATAGACATGAAGAGACCAAGATAGATAGATAAAAAATATTAGTATCAATAAAAATCTTGTCTGCATTAAATAAACCATTGAGGTTGATATGCCGTAAATCAAACCAAACCAAATCAAAACAAACCAAAAACATTCTGATGTTTAGTAATTGAAATTCTTGCAATATTCTTGCAGATATCACCTCCCAAACCGCCCAAAATGGTCACCTTTCCAAATAACTTTTAAGATTTGAAAAAATATTGGGGCAAAATCTACAAATTTTTACGTTCAATTTAAAAAAAGACCAACTTCAATTTAAAAAATGGTCAGCTTCAAATAAAAACAAGGTTCATTTCTTAAATTCACTTGATGAAGCCTTTTAGGTAGGTCACTTGCTGCTTTCTCTCTTGCTTTTGATATACCCTGTGAGTGTCAAGTTTTCTAAAGCCTCTATTCTCATTATGTGCCCTACACTTTTCAAATGTCTCTTTCTCATGTTAAGTATATGTATCCTTTTGTTTGCACTTTCTCGAAACCTTCATTGTTGCTCGCATGTTCAGACCATGGTATGCTCATCATCCTTCTGTAGGACCACATTTATGTTGCCTCAAGTCTCTTCTTTTTCGTAAGAAGACTGCCCAGGATTCAATGCCATATAAGATAACTGATATTACACAACTGTTCAGTAACAGTGTTTTATTTGTTTCTAACAACATTTTCCTGTTCCTTATTTCTTTGCTTATCTTTTCCAAGGCATTTTTCGCTATCTCAATGTGCCTTCGGATTTCTTCGTGTCATATTCTGTCTCTGTTAAAACACTTCCTACATTTTAAAATGTTTGTATTTTCTTGATTTTGTTGTCTCCAATTCGTCCTTCGCATCTTGGATTGTTTCCTTTGATGACAACCATACACTCTGTTTAATTACAATTGATGCTTAGTCCTTTCTTCTAGCTTTCCTTTACTGCTTCCTGTGGCTTCCTTTCTGCATCTGCTATCAACACTGTGTCATCTGCATATGTAATATTGTTAAGATTGTGACCACCACTCCAGGAAATTACATAACCTCTTGAATTCTAGAGTTCCCAATGAATAAGTTAGACTCAAATAGTGAATGATGTCATATTTTAGGAAAAGGTTTAAATCCTCAGTTTATGATATATCCGCTGATGTCCACTGAAACATCAATTCATGTTTTAAGTGTAAAAAAGGGATGGTGTGGGAAAATTTGTATATATTTGCATTTGTTCCATTTGTCAACATTTTGTCATTTCTTTAATTTTAGTGAAACATTGGGCGTATCTATAACAATAAAAACTATATTGAAATTTTCTTTAAAAATTTTATGGTCAAATTACGCTGAAGTAACCTGTTCAGTTACTGAATTTAATCAATATCGATCATTACTTAGGGAAAACCAGGTGCTATAGACCCCGAAATATGTTTCAGTTTGAAATAACCCACAAAAGGTTGATAAGCCTTAAGCCTGAAATAACCCACAAAAGGTTGATAAGCCTATAGACCCCGATCTCGATCATTACTTTGGGAAAACCAGGTGCTATAGACCCCGAAATATGTTTCAGTTTGAAATAACCCACAAAAGGTTGATAAGCCTTAAAAAAAGAATCAATCAATCGTATTTCTTTAAAAAAAAGAAATCCAACTTTTCTTATTGTTTGTAAATATTTCTATATTTGTATTTCTTTTGTTTAACTTATACATTTTTCTTGGCCATTTTTTCAGCCACCAGATTTATGGAGAGACGTATTTAATTTCCCAAATCCACTTTTGGCGTCTTCCCTCCAACCCACGCCACATCAAAAATAAATAAAACTAAATGAATAAATAAAATAATCTATGATTATTCTGAATTTATCGTTACGTTTCGCTAATCCGGTGCATTTTTCTATAATTCTCTCGAATTTTATTTTGAATGATATTATCGTCTGCCAGATGGTTATAAGAAAGATAAGAGAAAAACACAATGTTTTGATTGAAGTCTTTCTCAATTAAATTTTTAAAAGTACGAACCTAAAAATAATAAGAATGGAAACAATATGTCCACTACGCACGTCGATGAAACTTCAAAAGTTCCTCGGATACGACGAACACAAAAAGAAAGAACGAAGTAAAAAATGGTGGAAGTGTTATTAAGAAAACACTTAAACAGATTGCCGAAACAGATATTTTTTTTAAAAACGATTTCTTACGAAAAGATTTATTTTAATTAAATAACAAACAGGAAGTTAAAAAAAAAATATTAAATTAAAAATACATAATTTAAAAATGGGGGAAAAAACTCCGAATTGGGTAAAAAGACATCAGTAATACCCAGTTACTAATGTCGTGAACACAGTTTTAAAAATGACATTTAAAAATGACGTTTGTAAATAAAAAGAAAGTACATCTAACACTTTCAAAACTCAAAGGTCGATTTGTGTTATATAGGAATAAAGTATGACTGCCGACACTTGAGTTTAAACATAGTTCACCGGTGAGCAAACACAGGCGATCCCATTATTGAATTAAGTGGATCACGTAACCATGGGAAAAACGCATGCCTAGGAAGTCGCGTGACTGATCGCTATTTCTAGTCTATCCTCTATTACTATACTATTCCTCTATTCTATATTCTCTTCACTATACTATTCCTCTATTCAGATCACTATACGGATTACTATTAGGATCACTATACGATGGTTACTTTTCGAGCGAGTATTATCGAGCAAGTATTATTAGTGCGAGATTATTCGAAGGCGTCTAACACCAGTATTGTTCAACGGCGTTACTATAGTTGTATCTGCGATTACAAAGTCTCTACTACAATGAGCATTACAAAAGTGACAACGATTATTCGTCGACATCACAAAAACTTGACACTGTAACGATATTTTGAATAGCACTCCACTTCTAAAATGATAAAAAAATCAATATTTTTCGATTCTGGCAAATGGAATATTTAGAAGGAATTTGAATTAATGCTAAGCTACAAAAATGATTCCCTTCGCCAAAAAATTATTTCCCAATTTCTTTACAAACGTAATCTTTTTTCCTGTAGTTTCCTTTTAATGAAATCAAAATATCTCTTAATCTGATACATCGTCGGGTGGAATTTGGCAGTTTTCTTGTGGTATTCCTCGAGTCAGTTGAGAGTGTTACTTTACGATTGAATATTTTTTCCAATAAAAGGTGACATGTTATACTGCATCATACGATAAATCAGCAAAAAGGATTAATCTGTTATCAAACTATTATTGATCTATTATTGAATGTGAGAGGCAAGATACTTTGGTCTGACACAGTAAGAATCTAAAAGACCAAAACATTGACTTGAAAACTCGAGTCATGTCCCTAAATAAACCCCTGGTCGCATCAATAATTTTATATATCTGTCACAGATGGCGTTCAATTCGTTCAGAAATGTCTAATCTGTCATCTTTTCACATACAACCGTTTTCGCAATAATTTCAATTATTAAAACGAATGTATCTTTTGAATCTTAAAATCTTCATGATACACTATATATTGGCGCTACTCAATCACAAACAAAATGCTATAACAAAAACCATATCATACGGACAATTACAACAGCAACAAAAATTGTCTTGTACATGAAACTAGAAGAGAAAATAATTGAGATTATCAAGATATTTAACTTCACACATTACCTTAGACAAAACAGCTTACGGCCAAATCACGTCGAAATACCGCTTTCCGTACTAAAGTTAAGCAACATCGAACCCAGTCAGTACCTAGATAGGTAACCGCTTGGGAATAGCAGGTGCTGTAAGCTTGGATGTGCGGCTGAAATGGAAAATGGCTCGGAATTGTTAATCGGAGAGTCGAGTTCCCGTACGATCAATGAAGTTAAGCAATATCAAGTTTGGTCAGTACTTAAGTACCTAAACGGGTAACCGCTTGGGAATGCTAAGTCCTGTAAGCTTGGATGTGCCGGGGGGGGGGGTATAATGGATAATGTTACGGAATTGTTAATCGGAGAATCAAGTTCCCGTACGGTCACTGAAGTTAAGCAACGTCGAGCTTGATCAATACCTAGATGGGTGACTGCTTGGGAATACCAGGTGCTGTAAGCCTGGATTTGCGGGCAGTATAATGGTCTTATGGCCACATCACATTGAAATACTTGCTCCCATATGATCACCGAAGTTAAGCAACGTCGTGACTGGTCAGTACCTAGATAAGTAACCGCTTGAGAATAACAAATGTTGTAATCTTGGATGTGTGGGTGGTGTAATGGATAATGGCTCGGAATTGTTAATCGGAGAGTCGAGTTCCCGTACGATCACCGAAGTTAAGCAACGTCGAGCCTGGTCAGTACCTAGATGGGTAACCGCTTGGGAATACCAGGTGCTGTAAGCTTGGATGTGCGGGTGGTGTAATAGATAATAGCTCGGAATTGTTAATAGGGGAGCCGAGTTCCAATTCCAGTTGAAATTTACGGGTATATACCCTTAAAAAAGTATGAAGCACCACCTATGGGTTATTTCGAAAGTCCAGTTTCGCTAAGGCATTCTTCTTCTTCCTCGTTATGTGCTGTTTTCCTCTGTCCCTCTTGCTCTCAACCTGTTCTGTGTCTATCAGATTTTCCAAGCCCTCTTTTCTCATTATGCTCCCTAAAATTATCAAAAAAATACTTAAAATCTAAAATAAATTTTGGCTTTAAATAACCTGCAGAGGGTTGATAAGTCGTAGAAAACGAATCAAACAATCAACCATTTAACAAAAAATCTGGAAGGAAATTCCCATAAATCCTAAAAAATGGCGGTAACAGTAGATGTTTCAAACTATCAAAAACAAAAAATTTGGAAGGAAATTCCCATAAATCCTAAAAAAAGGCGGTAACAGTAGATGTTTCAAACTATCAAAAACAAAAGATTTGGAAGGAAACTACTATCAGTACTAAAAAGAACTCTAACAGCAGATTAAAAGGTCTAATTTCTCGAAAATTCTTACAATATAAAATATTTTCTGTCTTTAAAGAACCTGCAGAGTGCTGATAAGCCAGAGAAAACGAATCAATCATTTAACAAAAGGTTTTGAAACGAAATACTCATGAATACTAGAAAGAGCGCTATTAGCTGTCTTAAAAAAGTGTCATGTCTTGAAAACTTGTTTTAAGAAAATGATTTTATAAATGACAAGTGACAGTAATTTGAAGTGGTTGTTTGAACAATTACTGCTGAATGTTCCCCGTATGGAAACAGCTATTTTCACCATTACCAGATTCGTGTTTGCCCCGGGAGGCATTAGAGGGAAGAGATCATAATTGTAAAGACCATTTCTCCCTTGGAGTTAACCGCTAAGTCAACTTTGCATATTTGAACACCAGCGGTCAGTCTAGCATTTTACAAGAGTTGGTGATACATAAGTTGTACAAAAACTGTAGCGAGGTTATTATCACAGTGACCCTTCCTCAACGCATTCTAGAAAGATGGCCGATAAAACGACACCGATATTTTTTTATTTTGTTTCTCTGTGGGCCATGCTACTACTGTTGTTTCTGTGACGTGAGTAAAATATCGATCGATTATATCGTCGCCGTTGAATTTTTCTCTTCCTTCATTTATTTTTTAAACTCTTGATAGCTATTCGCTTTACTTGCTATTTTTGACTGGGCGCAATCTCCGCGCCTCACATTCCCAGCAATAAATGGAAACGTTTCCATAGTAACGGGCAGCGCTGGAAATCAGTTACTATGATACCTCCCCCCCCCCAATATTTATCATCCGGCCTTCTATGTTTAATATTATTTGCTTTGATCGCTTTTTTTGTTTTCTTTCTTCTTTTCCGTTTTTTTTTTTTAAAAAGTGCAAACAGTCGGACTTGGATACGCATCCATATTACAAAAAAAAAAAAAAAAAAAAAAAAAAAAATGCAATATCAGATTCTTTCTTCATTTTGCACTTTATTGTTTTCGCTTAAGCAGACGACAATTTTTCAAAATGGCTTCCCAGCGGAATGAAGTAATTTTTTTTTTTTTTAATGTTGTTGACCATTTTATTTTTCTTAATCTTTTTCCACGATGTAAAAGCACGTTTCAGTATTTTCAGTAGCAGGATGATGAGTTATTAGATATTCACAAATTGTTTGTTCAAACTTTACATCATTTTTCAGCTTATTTATATTGGGGCCGTTGTATGACTGATCCACAGTCCAAACGAAGCTATTCTTGAATTTGTGAAGCCTAACGAGAAAAATAAAATAAAATAAAAAAAACAACAAAAAACAATCATTTTTTTCATTACATTTTCTGCTGCTGTAGAAATTCAGTATGAATGAATGGAAACAAATTCCGAAATGTGTATTGAAAAGTTGAACTAGTTTTTTTCTGCTTTAGCTTACGACTGTTGATTTCAATGACAAAAATGGCATATAGACAAAGGTCATTACCATAGCGCGACATTTAACAAAATCTTGCGAATCATTTCGTTATTATACACATTTTAATTCTTATTGCGTGTTCTATGACACTGTCCTTGTGCCACACATAGCCGAGCTGCGTGAATCGCTAGTTAAGTCATAAGTATTTCCCGTTTTCGATAATTGTAATAACGAAATGTATCATTGTAACTAATCATCATACATTGATAAAGTCCAAAATGTCTCCGAGTCCTTGTGGGTGACGAATTATTTTCTATCCTCCAACTTTTCTCTTACAGTCGGGTGAGGCATGGCTCTTGCTGCTCTATCGCTGATTATATGGAAAGTGCTCGCATAAGTTACATGCCTTCATGGATAAGACCCACCATGCCATTCACATTGGAAGAAACCACTCTCATTCCTTTCCGTATTCCATCGGTGAGAAGAAAGTTCCATTCGAACAGCTTCTTCCCGCGAACCACGGCTCAGTGCAGTGGAACAGAACTCCCAAGAGGATGTTTCCCCGATCACTACAATCATAACCTGTTCAAATCTAGAGTTAACCGTTATCTTCCCCTCCTATCCATATAAACTACCCATTGGTGAGAAGTAAGTTCCACTCGAACAGATTCTTCCCGCGAACCATTGCTCTGTGGAACAGAACTCCCAAGAGGATGTTTCCCTGATCTCTACAATCATAACCTGTTCAAGCCTAGAGTTAACCGTTATCTTCCCCTCTTATCCGTACAAACTTCCCCTTAACGTAATCCTCTACGTCGAGTGGTCCCCGGGTACACGGTGAACCTTACTGCAAAAAAAAAAAAAAAAAGAAAAAAGAAAAAAAAAAGGCAAGATTTCAAGCAATGGAATAAAGCCATAGAGACATGTAGAAAAAAATGTAGTGGTTATGGTCAACGAGACATACAAGAGCGAAAATTGTTTGCAAAGTTTCGTTCTGGAGAAAAGTTGTTGGAAGGTGAATCCAGAGACGGTCTTTCATTAAATTTTGCGAATGAAGCTCTAAAATCTACAATGAAAGTAATCTACGGCAAAGTACTCGGGTATTATCAAAGTTGTTGAACACAATATAATCTATCATATACCGAAACGACTTAGAAATGCTAGCGAAAGTCAGCAAACTAGAAGCTTGTGTTCCCTAAGCGCACCGATGATAAGCAAAACGGAAATTATTGATAACAGACGATAGAAAATGTGACACCGAAATCCGAAGATACAACGAAAGATAAAGTATAATGAAATAGTTAAAAACAACAAAATTTGTGATCAATTATTATGTTATATCAATCCGTCCATAAGGCAGTGAATTCTGGATAATTTCCTCACAAATGAAACGGGGAATTGGGACAACGAGAATGTTTTAAGGAAAATGGAAACAAAAGGACAATTATACTTAGAGTAAGAAATGGACAGTTTAAATTTATAAGACGTATGGCTTACGGCCATATAGTGTTGAAACTCAGGATCCCGTAAGATCACCGACAAAGATGAGGACAATAGTCCAAATAATGTAAATAGTGTACATAATACCTCATCTCAGAGCTATAGACAGATACTGAAAGGCCGAAACGTTGTAATAAATATGGCGAGAAAGATGAGGACAATAGTCTGAATAATGTAAATAGTGCACATAATACCTCATCTCACAAATATAGACAGATACTGAAAGGCCGAAACGTTGTAATAAATATGTCAACTAAGATGAGGACAATAGTCCGAATAATGAAAATAGTGTACGTAATACCTCATCTCAGAAATATTGACAGATATTGAAAGGCCGAAACGTTGTAATAAATATGTCAACAAAGATGAGGACAATAGTCCGAATAATGTAAATAGTGTACATAATACCTCATCTCAGAAATATAAACAGATACTGAAAGGCCGAAACGCTGTAATAAATATGGTGACAAAGATGAGGACAATAGTCCGAATAATGTAAATAGTGTACATAATACCTCATCTCACAAATATAAACAGATACTGAAAGGCCGAAACGTTGTAATAGATATGGCGACAAAGATGAGGACAATAGTCAGAATAATGTAAATAGTGCACATAATACCTCATCTCAGAAATATAGACTAGTTCAAGTATTGTATAAATATTATGGTCAGACGTTGTAAGTTACTTCGACTGGCTAATTATTTAACATTGCATATTTCCTTATTGAATGAACTGACATTCAACTTCAGTAACCATGTTTTGAAAAAGAATATTCCTTCGATACATGACTCGACCAGATATTTAATTTGTTTAAGACATGACAATATTACATGTTCCGAATCCCTAATGTTCTGCGTTTTCAGCTTTAGTTTATAACTGTCATTTCATTTGTAAAGAATTTATCTAATTTTTTCCTCATCGCTAATTATTCAGATGCTTATAACAAAGATGCAGATTGTATTTCCGTTTAAATGCTCTGACACAACGCTAGGGACGACATAGCAGCCATGATCGGCGCCATTTTAGTTGTCCTGCGCCACTGATTGGCTGCTTTAATTGCTTCATTAAATGGCCGCCTTACAGCGACAATTTGCAAAAGCCAGAATAAAAGGACAAATGCGAAACGGGCAAAATAAATGGAGTCCAGAATTTCTCATGTTGTTTTCTCGAAAACTGAACACACAAAGGTTCGCTTTTAATGGGGGATAAACGCAAATTTCCGGCTGTTGACATGAATGACGTCAATTCGCAGATGTCGTCAAAAATAGTCAGCGAATATATTGTATGGCTTGAATAAAACACATTCAGGTGTTTTTCCTTCTGTTCCGTTTAGTGCTTTTTTTTTCATTGAATTTGTATTTTTGCCAGCTTTTCAGTTGACGATTCA